CATAAACTGGGTTCATATAAAAGGATTACATTTTGGGAATCTCAGTTGTCATCCTTATCTGAGGTAGATCTGGAAGGATCTTTTCATGGCTAAGACTAAACAGTTATTTGTTGCCAACTTGGCCCTTAATATGACTCATTTTGGAAAATGAATCACTGTATCATGATGCCAAAAGACATGATGGGTCCACACAACCGAAGACCCACTTCACAATAATTCGTTAGTTCACTGAGGTGTGCCTCTTTGAGTTAGACCAGGCTTTCTCAACTTGGGTACCACTGACATTTGGCACTGGATAATTCTTTGTAGGGGTCTATCCTGTGCATGGTAGGGTGTTTAACAGCATCTCTGGAAACACTGGGTTCAGCAAATGTAAAGGTCACCCAGTGTGTAATATATTTTGCAATTTCCACTTACACTGCTTCTTCAGAGACAGAAGCCTCTTGGGTATCAAAGGGCCCTGTGTATACAAAGTAATGTGATAGGGGAGGGCAAGCCTCTGCTGGTGAAGAGATTCTAAACTAGCTATCATGGCAGTCATATTCTTTTGAAATTTCAAATTAACCTGTAAGGGATATAATTTTTTTGTGTGTGTTTATTTAAGACTCACAAACTCACATGATAGTAAAAGGAATTGTCTCTGTTTTACAGATAGGAAAACTGTGGTTCATAAAAGTTAAGGGTGCTTGCCAGTGTGGGTCTATGGTTAGAGCATCAGGTCACACACCAAAAGGTTCAGGGTTCAATTCCCAGTCAAGGTCACCTACCTTTGTTGCAGGTTCTATCCTCATCCTTGGTCGGGCATGTGTGGGAGTCAACCAAGCAATGTGTCTCTCTCACATTGATGTTTTTATTTTCTCTCTCTCTCTCCCATCACTGCCTCCCTTTTGCTCTCTAAAAATCAATAGGAAAAATATCCTCAGGTGAGGATTAACCAAAAGAAAAAGTTAAGGAACTTGCTCAACTGAAAACTATCATGTGCTTCTTTGGAATTTCCAGTAAGTATTTATAATCCCATATACTTTAATTCCTTTTGACAAGTTGATTTTTTTAAAATCTCAAATATTGAACCTACTAAAAGAGGTATTCAATATAATATTTTCATAAGTTAACACACTACTTCATGCTGATCTTTGAGTCCAAAGACAATTTACATTCAATGCTGTGGGGACTGACCTCCTTCCATGGATATTACGTAGGGAGGTGTGATACACTACACTGTATTACAGGGTTGAAACTTGGCTGGCACAGCCTGCTGATGTCCTTTGCAGAAGTAGTTAAAAGTCAATTGATAGTCTATTTTTAAAAAATCTGAAAAGCAGAGAGATAAAAACAACGCAGTGATATATACTAAGTGCAAAACTGATAATGATGAGTGTGGACTTGTGTATAGTTCCGCTCAGTTACCCTGTGCATGTTTATTTACAAAGATAATTCTTAGTTTTGGTGACAGAATGCTATAAGAGTATGGAAAACAAATCCACAAAAAGGCCTAAAACCCAACTTTAAGGAAGATTTTAAATGTCATCACTAACAACCCAGACTTGTACCACCGACTTTCTGGAAATGCTTGTAATTTAACATCTGATAAAAGTGCTAATGTACATTTAAATAGTTTAAGTCAAGGTAACAAGCCACAGCAGAAATGTACCTAATAATATGTACCTGAAATAACTAAGACTTTTTCATAATACTTTCGGACAACTATATATTTCTACTTATCTCTAGCAAAAGGAAAATGGAAACCAGCACATTGCATGGCCGTTTGTTGATTATTCATGGTATTTGAATTCTGACCCCAAACATGTCCTTCAGTGAATGATAAAAAACAAACAAACACAAAAAGTCTTTCTCCAGAAATAGATCACATACTGACCTCTCCTGGTCCTGTGGAACTGAAGTGACAAGCACCAGGGGAAAAAAGCAAAGCCTCTGCCAATACCAGGAAATAGCCCCATTCTCTAGGAGGGCAGGCTGGCATGAATAATCGCTACCACACTTTTGCAGCACAAACAAGAAATGAAATTGCTCTTTTCCCTACTAATCACAAAGCGAATGGTAGTGTGCTCCTGGAGCAACTCCCCAGGTGATTTTGAATACATTTCTGTATATACATGTCACAGCACGCACCCTAACACTGTCAAACTGTGATGGCGGTGTTATAATGCCTCTTCCCTCCTGGAGGGCTTCTCTCATGCACTCAGGCTGGGTTAGATGCTCTTCATTTTTCACCTACTGAGACCTGAAGGATGAGCGGCTAGTTGCTGGTTGGACAGAGAGTGAGAACAAATATGTATCAGTTTGGCTGCACTGTGGTGTAATTTTCTCTCCAATTATCTGGCTGTTCATTTGAGGATTGATAATACCGCACCGTCATGCTTATTGTAAAGATTAGAAATAGCACAGGGAACTTGGTATGGGGGCTTCATCATTGGTAGTGGCTGTTAATGAAAATTACATTCATTTTGTGAGTTTGGCTTTTACAGTAGTCTACTGTATCTAGGCAACGTTCCAGGATATTAGCATCATTTTTCATTCTCTATTCAATCACCTCTTTGTTGAGTTGTAGCATTTCATAAACTTCTCTAGCCTATCAGCATGAAAATTAAAATCTATGTCAATGATATAATAGAGGCATTTTTCTCCATTTGAAGACTACGGGTTCTCTAATAGGTCATTCTAGGACTAAAATTCTGGTATTTTATAATGAAGGGGGCCATTTCTATTCTTTCCTATGTTCTACTTGGTTGTTAGGTACAATGTTTTCTATTGCCCCATATTACTTATGTTCTGAAATTACTATAATTATGCATTGTAATTGCAAAGGCTGAGCTAGAACATCAAGTACTAGTTTTATGAGTTCTTTTTTAAAAAATCTACAGTGAATCTTCCATCTGAGAAATAAAAAATAGCAGGCTGATTTATCAGCAAGGCTGCTGGTTACAAACATGATGACGCTACTAAGTTCTGCTCTAGCAGTTAGTTCTTTGTGCCAAAGGCTCTCCACTGGTTGCCACGGCCCAGGGGTCACTGACAGGCTGCTACTGTAGACTACCTGTGCACCCATAAAACAAAAGAACACAGAGCCAAATGTAACTTCCATCTCGTTCCACTTCCCAACACACAGATGACGAAGGCAGGGTACAGAGTCAGCTTGCCAAGATGAAGTAAACAGCAATAAAGACCTTTTCAATTAAGGCATCATATGATCTCTTGGAAGCAGGAAGGTGCTACCTCGGGACAGCACTCAATTTGTCACAACTGAAATTCAGGCCCCAGGACTGGGCTGTTTCCATCATTTTCTTTCTCTCTAAGACTTAGAGGTGTCAGTGCCTCAGTCTCAACTCTCTAATACCCAGGGACAACCTTTACTCCAAGGTCCACGGGAAAGGTAGATTCAGGTTGGAGTCCTTGCTCCCCTCAATTCAGTCACCTTGAAGTGCCTCAGCCCTGCAGAAAGATCTGATGTATTATAGGGACCTGAGTGTGTATATGTTAACATAGTTACTGTCCTTCTTCACAAGTGTGATGATGTCACTTCCTTTTGCCTTATAGTCTGGGGGGAAGGAACTATGGGAATGATAACCAAATGTGGGTAGGGTCAGGGGAGAAGAGTTATCTCATCTTTCCACTGTCATTAGTGAAGGTTCTAGTCATAGCCACTTACTGACATTGGACCTTGGGAAATTTTAAGTAAAAGAGGAATTTGGATTACATTGTCCTAAGGTCCTTTCTAATTTAAAAAATTCTGTGGTCCTTTAATTTTACTCTTCCAAGTTGAACATGCAAACATATACATGATACCAAATATATAACACTTTATTATTTATGCTGTGCATCTTTGAATAGCTGACCCAAAGCAATGGAAGTTAGAGTACAACCATGGTAAGCTTTGAGCCACCTTCACCATTAGGAGCAGGGCTGTGAAGCTGAAATATGCAATTGCAAGAAAACTCTATTCACTCAGCTCCTAATAAGACATGAAGCATTAGCCTCTATTCTTTTTTCAGAGCAATTAAGATAAAATGAGGGAAAGAGATTAAAAATGTAGGTTTCCTTGGAGCAGAAACTCTTATGGGGATTGTTGATTGGTTAAAGTGCCCTAGGAAGGAAAGGACAACGTGAAGGAAAGAAGGGAATAAACTGTGACTTCAGAACAATGGTCTTTTACTCCCAGGTCCCCAAACCTCTATTTGATCTCAAAGAAAATGCTTAGGAAAGGACACTAACTCCCTCAGGTCAATGAATCAGGCTTGGGTGTTCAATTCTCACACCTAAAACAAGAAATGTCCGAATTTCCAATGACCCAATCAATCCTTTCTCTGGCTGGAATTTTCCCTGAAGTAGGCTCAGTGCTTAGGTAGGCGATTCACCCTTTTTGGTCAGAAACTCATTTATTAAAAACCAAGTGTTGTCCTATTAGTACATGTTATTCCTTGCCATTGCATTCTTCCTCCCCCTTGGCCTCAACTGCAAGAAACAGTCTAGAAACTTCAGCCAGGTCCCCAAGAGCCCAGACTGATCTCCAGTTGGTGGCTATGAACTTGAGTCTCCTGGCACAGAGACTTCCTTTAAGAAGTGTGGTCTTCAAATACACAGTCCACGGATTAAACTAACACTTAATGATAAACAACTGCTATATTGTTCGAGCCAGTTCCATGAAACAAAATAAAACTCCCTTATAAATGGAATATATACTTATGGGAAAATCTTTTTTACATTCGTCCCTATAGTATTTTATACTCATTAAATTACCAAATGCCAAGAGGCCTTTTAAAAGGCTTTAATGTTTATCCTTTGTTTTATGAGTCAGAGAGTGAAAAAAAAAAATGAATTCATTACTGCTTTGAATCCTTAAGGCTATTAATTTCACTCTTGTCTCAGAAAGAAGACAAAATGAGGTATTTAAATGACCCAAATAATAACAACTCACATTCAAGGTGCTGGCTCCATAGTCTATATTTATACTTTAAGACATTTGACCCAACTTTAAAGCCTACCTCCTTCTCTCTCCTGCTCATCCTCTTCTTCTTTCAGCAGCTTGCCAACGGAATTATACCACTTGAATTGTGGATCAGGGATGCCATTAACACTACAATTAATCAAGGCACTATTCCCTTCCTTGACTATGATATGGTCAGTTCTGGCAATGATTACGGGCATAAAGCCCAAGACCATGTCAGTGCCATTTAAAGTGCTGTTAGTCATACTCTTTGCAGTCGCTAAAGTGGATACTAGGATTAAAAAGGGCACAGAAGGTAGAAAGCACACAGGCAGATGGCTCTTCAATCGATCCATCTTCTTTGCTTGCTCTGTAAGGCAACAGAGATGGTTTGCCAGTGGGATCTTTATCAGACAGCACGTTGTTCACAGCAGGCCATGGGACAAACCTGACTTGGGTCCATAAAGTTGGTTCTTGATTAAGAACCTGTTAAAACAAACAAACCACACACACACATAAATATTAGCATTTGTAGCTTAAAAATATTATTTATAAAATGTCAGAAACCCAGCTCAAATTCCTACAAAATGTTTAAACAATACACAAATTCAGATGTTCCAAATAGTAAATTGCATTTTCCCCAGGAATCCTAACAAATAATTAGTATTTTTACTACTGAAATATGTAGCGATGAATACATATTTCTTACAAATATATCACATTGCTTCAGAAAGTTAAACGACTGATTCGGGCTTCTTTCGTTTAGCATGACAATGTCTCTTTCCACCCCATCACCTGTCTTCATTGTGGATGAACTGACTGTTCACTTGGGTGGTTCCTTAACCAGTTTTCTTCCAGTGAACATGCCTGCCTGTCTGTGTCAGTGGTCACAGCCCTGCCAACACAGGGAAGGGCTCCACCAAAAACAGTCTGGCAGTCTCCATTATGGCTTCCAGGATGCGCCTTCCCTGTTCTTTGAGCTTTACGGCATCTGACTCTCTGTTTTATGTTTTTGTTATCTATCGACTCATGATCACTCACTGAATTCCCTAGTTTCTTCATCTGCCTCCCAGAGACTGGTGAAAATTAGTATGTAGACAGTGACATGATGGGTGGCATTACTTCCACGACCAAAGATCTAACTTTCTCCTACATCTCTATCCTCTGTTTGACCACTAATCATTCAGCCCACACTCTAGAACTTTCATCTGTCCAAATTCTAAATTCTGAAGTTCCAAGTAATTCTGAAGGATTAAGTAACTATTTTGAATTGCACCCTACCATTCCTCCAGATCTCTTATTCCTCTTACTGCACTTTCTAGCCCTCCCTCTTTTTCCCCCCTCTCAGTCTCTATCTTCCTTCCTCCCCCATTTCATGTTCCAATTTTGTGTCAGTCTAGACCTGTTTTGATAGACCACAATCCCCAACATCTTCACCCTCTGTTCTCTGTTGCCATGACTCTGCCAGCATATACTGGAGATAATCATACAACCACATTATTGCCAAATTAAGGAACTATTTCCAACCCCAGCCAGGTTTCTGGTGACATCTGGCAATCTGTTATCAGGGCTTCATAGGTTCAGTAGCTGCTTTTCACAATGCTATGGATATCTTCAGCTTTCAAATCAAGCATCATAGCTCAGTTCTGTTCTCAAAAGGCACCTTTCTCATACTAATATTTGTAGGCACGAATTCCCACTTTGTTTTTAAAAAAATCCTGCATTTTGCCCTAAATTCCTCCCCTTCGAATTACTTTAAATACCCAATTCTGTATTTTGCCTGCACTTCATTGAAACAGCTCTTGCTGAAGTCACCAGTCACTCCTCATTGCTAAGTTTTCAATCTTTCTCTTGCCAAATCTCTGCGGTGATCAGCACTATTAACTCTTTTTTTTTTTTTTTTTTTCAAACTCGAAGCTGCTGCACTCTACTCCCCCTGCCTGATCTTACTATTCTGTACCAGTTCCTCTTCTTCCTCATCCTTGAGAGTTAGTTTACCCCCAGAGTTTCATCACTGGCTCTCTTTTCCTTTTACTCACAGCTCTTCCTAAGGTTCCAATCTTTTGCCTTTATTACTACCTCCAATCTGACAGTTTTCAAATCCATGTTTCAGACCTGACTTCTTTCTAGGTTTCAGACTGGTATTACTAACTGCCCAAGAGACATCTCTGCCAGAATGTTCTGACGGTAACTCAGAATTAACATTGCAAACAAATTCATCTCATCTGCTGAACATGTTACATTGTCTGGTTCCTTATTTCAGCTTAGGGCAGCACCATCCACACAAGCATGAATGGATATTAGTCCTGAATTCAACTGTTGTTCTTAATATCCATAGAACATAAGTAATTATAAGCTGTTGATCCCAGCTCTTAAATGTTGCTTGTATTGTTCCATCCTTTCAATCTCCTCTGAGAGAGCCTTAGTTCAGGCCTCCCTATCTTCTTACCAGAAATGGTGTGGTAGCCTTCTATAAGATCTGTCTTCAATCTCTCCCCAACTCCAAATTCAGTCCCTATAACCATTCTACAGCACAAATTATATGGTGCCATTTCTTTACTTAGCAACCTTCAATGTCTCTGAACTGTCTGCATTATAGAATCTGAATTCCTTACCCTTTTTATTCACTCAAAAATTATTATTGAATGCCCACTATTAGGCAGACACTATTTTAGTCCTATAGATAGAAGAGTAGAGAAGACAGACCTTTTCTATTATGTGGAGATTATATTCTCAAGGTGGAGGGGGGGGTAGGGGAGCAAAAAATAAATAAATGCCATGTAAGTAAAATTTCAACTAATGATGCTTTGAAAACACACCATATGCACTTGAGTGATGAGTTAGGCAATCTGGGAAACTGCACCGAGGAGGTAGCCACTGAGCTGGGGTGCTTTAGAAATCAGCCACACCTAGATCCAGGAAGAAGGAACATCAAAAGCAAACAGGTGCCAAGATGGGTCATAGAAGTAGACAAGCTTAGGCCACCTAGGGGTTTGCAGGACAAAGTGAAGAGTTTGGATTTTATCTAACATTCATTGTCATTTTCCAATGAATATGACTCCAAAAAAACGTGATTTATTTTTGAAAATCAACTTTACTGTGGTATAACTTATCTATAAACAATAAATATATACCCATTTTGGGTATGTATTTTAATGGGTTTTGACAAATTTATACACCGATGTAACTACTATAATAAACAAGATTTGCCAAGAGAAAGATTGAATAACTACCAACAGTTATTCTTTGTCCCTTCCCAGTTGTAGTTTTTACACTGATCCATTTTAATTATTATTATTTTAATATATTTTTTTTATTGATTTCAAAGAGAGGAAGGAAGAAAGAATTAGAAACATCAATGAGAGAGAACCATTGGTTGGCTGCTTCTTGCATGCTCCCTAGTGGGGATCAAGCATGAAACTGGGGCATGTGCCCTGACCAGGAATTGAACTGTGACCTCCTGGTTCATGGGTTGATGCTCAACCTGATCCACACCAGCCAGACTATTCCAGTTATTTTTGTGTATGGAATGAGGTATGGATTGAGGTTTATTCCCCCTCCCACCCTCAAATGGACATCCAGTTGTTTCAGCTCTGTTTGTAAACAGACTTACTTTCTTTCTTTTTTTGGTTAATCTTCACCCAAGGATATTTTCCCATTTATTTTTTAGAGCAAATAGAAGAGAGAGGGAAAGACAGAGAGAAATATCAATGTCAGAGAAAAACATTGGTTGGTTGCCTCCTGCATGCGCCCTAACCAGGGCCTGGGCTCAGGAGAAGTCTGCAATTGAGGTATGTACCCTTGATCAGAATTGAACCTGGGACCCTTTGGTCTGCAGAACAACGCTCTATCCACTGAGCCAAACCAGCTTGGGCAAAAAGACTATCCTTTCTACAATGGATTATTTTGCCTTCTTGTAAAAAAAAGAATATATTTATAAATTCTTTATTCTGTTTCACTAATATTTACGTCTATTCTTATGCCAATATCGCACTGACCATACTATTTGTCTCATTGATTTTGGTATCTGCAGTGTCTGAAGTTGTCCTTGACACTTGCAGTGCTCAGTGAATTGCTGAATGAATGAGTCTCTCTCCAAAGGCAGAAATTATTATTCCAATCCCGTAGACAATAAAAGTGAGGAGGTACTAGGGGTGAGGGTGATAAATTAGCTTCAGACCATAGATTAGTTCACTGGGAAAGAGGAGAGTTCTTAGCGCTCTAGGTGTCCACACTCCCGCCTGCTAGGGTGCCTTCCTGCCCCAGGAAGGCCAGCTCATTACTCCACCCACTGGAATCGCGTGGCTGAGGGAGATAGCACAGGCTCGGGGCATGCCAGATACCCTGCTATGACTGTGTAAATGTTGTCCTTTATTTGGCCAAATGCGGGGTTTCCTTTGAACAGGGAGGTTGTAAATGTGAACTATCCGATACAGAATGGTTGTTAAGAGCATGGCCTCAGGTTTTAGATAGACTGGGCCAGGATCCTGGATCTAGCCACCTTAATGAGCTGTGTTTTTCTGGCCAAGTCCTTACCAAATCTAGGGCAATTATAATGATTCATGGCCATAAAGAATTTACATAGTGCTTGGCTTGATAAACAGGAATTATCAACATAATGTACGCAGCATCGTTTATTGAAATCCTGCTTCTCAAGTTGATTTTTATTTTATCCTTCAGATTGTATCACTTAAAAGGCAGACCTTCTGTTTGGTTTTGTTTAAGACATTATTTATTGTCATCCTACCACTAGAAATAATTAGAAGCGATTTTCAGCACTGGGTCCTTGTGCAGGACTCAAGTGTGAAAATATATGAGTTGTCCCATTAGGCAGACGCTGCATTGAGCATCTTATGGGTACAGCTGGGGTCACTCATCTGGGACTCTCCAATGCGTAGGTCAGAATTTAGATGCCCAACTAAATTCCCTTGGGAGGGGATGAGAGACAGGACAAAGTGGAGGATAGAATCTAATAAATGTGCAGCATTTCGCCCGTCCCCACAATTAAAGAGAATGCATCCCATGGAAAGATCAAACTGATTAAAATGCATAACTCAAGAGCTGTTTTCAAACAAAGGCCAGCCACATTGGGTTATACTTTCAAACACATTGTGCTGGCAAGAAGAAAGAGAAGGGGATACTGCTTGTTGTTCTAGTTTAATAACATCGTAGGAGCTTTGGGCTAGAAACAGCAACCCTTTCTGAAGCTGGCATCTAGTTCCCTCAGAGACCTTGAGATGTACAGAGAAAGACTGTCACTGGAATGCAAGAATTTCGGTTAGCAAACTCACTCCTCCCTCTCCCATTCTCTCTCCTCCTTTTTCATTTTGAAAAGTTACTAAGATAACAGAAAACA